GTGCCCGGTTGTGGTCTGACCTAAAGGTGGGAACCAATCAAGTTCTGCTAAGTGTTCAAATTTAAATGTCAACCAATAACAGCTCTGTAACCGCAAAAAATCCCTAACTTGTTTGTGCCTGTCTATAAAAGAAGCTGTAAGATCCTCGCTCAGGGCCTCTTAGCGTCACCGGCAACGAGTGCGCGGAGGACCGGGTTCGAACCTGCAATAAACGACCCTTGCCGCTTGGCTTTGACTCTGGACTCTGGTGGTTTGTTTTTGGGGGGGTCTCTTGAATCGGGGCATATCAGAACCATGAGATCATGACCTGAGCTGAAGTCAGACGCTTAACCAATGGGCCACCCATGCGCCCCTTTAAATAAAAACATTTTTAAAAAGAGACATAGTATTTTCATGTGGCGCTGTCCTTTCTTGTGCCATTTGCAGATTAAACCTAGCACACAATGGGGACATGAATTTCCCTCCTGGAAAATGCATTTGAGTTTATGCTTCTGAAAGTTCTGCTGGTATATGAATGGACACATCCTCCCATGTAAACTGCCAGGTCTGTGGATGAGTGAAAAGTCCAGCTTGATTACTAATAAAATGTGTTTATTATAAATGTAGTTACACTCTTCAAACATTATAATAAGTTAAAGAAAATTACTGATGAATATAGCACGCAAAATGAAATGTTAATTGCCCATAAGTGTTATTGTGGGTAAATTGGCATTGAACGAGGGCTACATTTTTAGCACTAATGTATATAATGTGACCCATTTAAACCACATTTCAGTACCTCAAAAATAAAATGTACAAAATTTAGGGCATTGAGTAATTGGCTTTCATTAAGCTTTTCTTAATTGGATACTTTCTAAATAGGTTTATTAGTGATCACAAAATGAATCTATAAAGCAACTTGTAAAAATGTAGAATTTGCCATGTAATAGACGCTGTATTCATGGTTATTACTATCAAGAGAACTTGGGCGTGTGATAGATAAGCTACGTGTTGCTTAATGTTTGCGTTGAGGTATTTTATTGTTCTAAATGGGGAGTAAATGTCCATTTAAAAAGAAGAATAGTCAGCAAGCTGCGTAAGAAATGACAGGAGGACTGTCTGCCTTTCTCCCAATTTTAATCAAGTAAATGAAAGCAATCACCCTCCATCATCCTGCCTGCCAGAGTCACTCACAAATGGGGCCCTGCTGACTCCTGGGTGAGCCACATCAGGGCTGCTGGATTCCAGCTTCCCCCCAGAGCCAAACATCCAAGCAACAGGAAGCATCCTGCCCAATAAGAGCTTTCTCGCTCTCTCTCTCTCTCTCTCTCTCTGCCTCTGCCCTCCCCCAATCCATGTGGATTTCAAGTGAAATAATTTCCAAACCAAACAAAAATATTCCAATTTCAAAACACCCAAATTTTATACTAGAAAACGTAAGTTGCATAATTGCAAATTGTGGAAGGTCATGGCAATACAAGACCTCCCAACTTTTTTTTCCACTTCAAACATATGGTCTAATCTCTTATGCTCAAACTGTACCCTTTTCCTTTTAAATGAATCCAAATGCTCATGACAGTGTTTGCAACTGTGACCACATATTGTATCCCTCTTTACATCGACGCAAGGAGAGAGAGCGTTGCATCGGATAACTGTTGAGCGAGGAGCTTTCGATTCTACATAATGGCCTGGAGAATATAGAACGGACGGAAGGAAATGTCTTTGGCAGCCCTCTGCTTATGAAATACAGGAAAGTGGGGTGAAGGCTAATGTATTTTATTAAGAGCAAATGAGAGATACAGAGCTAGACGATGTAAGAACTGTGACTAGAGAACAAGGTTTTCCATGCCCACACATTTGCCTTTTGTTTTGCTCTGTGTTAGCTTGCAAGATAGTAAAAGAAGATTGATTTTAGTAATGGCGGAGTATTACATGAGACGCTGATTAAGAAAGCTTTCTTGATAAGTACAGTGGTGTGGGGATGGGTAAATCTATTTTGTAATAACAGAACTTGCGTTTCAATGTGACGAGGGATCCAGCTTGGGAGGTAAGCATAGTTATTCGTGTCTGGCATCTGTCTTCCTTTGTCAGGGGGGTGGGTCACCAGAAACTGACCCTTCAATCACATGTATACAGAAAACAACCAGTTCTAAGTCATTATGTATTTAATGGATGTATATTCAGTTAACTCTATTGGGTGGCTGTTAAACAGCTGGCCTTGCACTTGGTAACGGGACTGAACTGGAAACACAGAGAGCCCATCTCTTGATCTCATGGGGCTCTGTCTCATGGAGAAG